GTATATACAGAATAGATATTTCTTTCGTGATTATGTAAAGTACTAAATTTTTTATAATGAATACATTCATTAAATGAATAAATGTTACGAATATACATAAAATTTTTTTTATTTTAGATAATATAATATACACTAAAAAAAAAAGCATGCAGATTGTAAAATTTACTACGAGATCTGCTGTATAAACAAAGAAAGTTTTAATTTAATATACATTGTTTATTTAAATGAATACATGGTATCTTAGTATGCATATATATGTATATTTATGTAAATAACAATATTAGGTGTGTTAATTCATATATATAATTTATTTTTTATATTAACATAAAAATTTTAACCTGCATATTTTCACAATTTCATACTATAATATTTCATATATTCTTTTTCACATATATAAGTGTTAAAAAGTATAATAATATATTGCTAACAAATATAATATTTATTCATCTAAATATTATAATTATAGATTAAATTCAAAGCTATTATTTTTTCTTGCAAACACAAACATTAATTTCTATGATTACAATAAATTTTATTTAATACAAAAAATATATAGATCACATAAATACAAATAATTAAATTAAATATATATTATAACATATGATAAAATATATAATTCTTTAAAATATACTATCTTTACGAAGATGAAAAAAGTGATAATGTCACTTTAACTTTTGTTTTATTGCATGTTCGCCATTTTGTTATACATACAATTTATATTAAATAACATTATGTGCGACATTGGACAATGATTATGCATTTTTGTACTTAGTATTACATGTGAGTATAGAAAATATTACTTATATTATTATTATGTTTTTAACACATATTTAATATTATGTTTATATTTATATAGTATTCTGTCTTATATACAATATGTCACGTTAGTAGCATATTTTAATTATAATTTTAATAGAAATAATGATACGAAATAAATAAATAAACTATCCATATTTAATATATTATTTATTTTTTATTATCTCAAAATGTAAATATCAAAGTAATTTGCTATATTTTAAAATTAATACATTACTACTGTTTTTTTATTGCTTATTAAACATTCATATATTATATTTTCTAAAAAAATATAGTTTATTGGATATGTATCAATTGGAAAAGAACAATATTTTTTCGGTAAGAATTTTTATTATATTAAATTAACTTATATATTTATGTATTCTTTTAAGAATATAACAGAAATTAACTATTCCCACTAAAATAAACATGCATAATATATATATATATATATCTTATTTATTGCAAATTATATGCTAAGGTAATATTAAAATTTATGAACGAAAGAAGATATAAATAGGATGTAATTAGTAGACTACTGCCTTAATTTTTCCAGGAATATAGGACACATGCAAATCTTACTGTGATAACTAATTATAAAGATTATAATGAATTTATTATGATAGAATAACTACTAAACATAGAATACTAAACCCTGAACCCTGATGGATATTCAGATACAAATCAAATATAATTTATACAACAGTAAAAAAAAAAATATATTTTGTAACTATATATTATTATACAAACAATTAGGATAATTTATATACTTATAGTTTTTAAACGAATATATATACAATCCTTTACTAGATTATTTAATAATTCTGGAATATTTATATATATATAACAAAGGAAAATATTAACATATATTCTTTTAAAAATAAATAATCATAAACAATTTTTTTAGATAATGAGGAATGAATACGTGTATTATATATATATTTTTTATAAATATATTATATATAATGTAAAAAAAGTTCAAGGATATATCATATAAAATAAGAACATTACTTAAGAAATTATAAAATCCTATATTACTATGATGATTTATGTAATAGTTATCCGTATGTGGAATATATAATATATTAGCCATTATTGCCATCTTACTAAATATTTTAGACATCTAGGTAATTTTAAAATTTGTTATTTAGTTAGAACTTCTTTACAAAAGGCACAATATTCCTTAAAATTCATCTTACATTTCCTTGCCCTTAAACGTTCATATTTTACAACTTTTATCATTATATAAATAATGGGTACCAAAATTAAAATTGATAATATTATAATAAATGTGGCATAAATTTGATAATCATAAATCTGATAACTATCAACTTGATTACTATAAATTTGCAAACCTAAAATAGAAAGAATATACCTACTAGGAGTAACATTCTTTTTTATCTTACTTGTTAAAGGATAAATTATACCAGATAATTGAAATAAACAAAAAATTGTACCATAGAGTCCATATCTCACACAAATTTTTTTTTTCATTCTTCTATTTTCATAATTACTACATTCAGATATTTTATCTATTCTATCAATCATATCGAATATATATTTTTCACAGTAACTGTCAAATTTTCCTATTCCTTTCTTACTATAATATCTTTGCTTATAGTACTTCATATAAGTGTCCAAATCTTTTATTCCATCCTTTTTTAGTATTTCTTTATATTTTAGCATATCCTTCTTTCTCTTTTTTTTAATTTCCATTTTTTTTTCCTTGGCTATTTCTTTTTCTCTCATTTGAGGAGTTTTATTTTTATCTAAGAAATCAAATTTTCCAATAATATATAATATTTGTGACAAACATATAACCATTATAGTAAGAAATGCTACATTATTTAACTCTGTATATTTACCATATAATTTTGAATTGCATTTATGTGTTAAAATAATAACTAAAGAATTATTTGTGGATTCAAGAGCAATCTCATGTATTTTTTTTCCAGTATAATCACACAATATGGTAGCAATTTTATTACTTAATGGAATAGCATGCAATTTAGGATAATCATTAAATATCGCTCTTTCTAATGTTTTATTCGATATTTCTGCTTTTACTACATGTTTATTAAACTTTTCATGTTCATCTAATAATAATCCATTAACACAATCATCCAGCAATTCCATATCTTTGTATATAGAGGCTATTTCATGCGAACCATTGTTTATATTATATTTTGGGTTAAAAAGTTTTAAATTAACTTTTAAAGATTCTTGTTTATATTTTCTTTGGAATATATTTTTAGCCAGTAATCGTTCTGTTCTTGCAATATATGTATTATCAGCATTGAATGTGTTAAAAAAAAATTTAGATAATATGCGCTAAATAAAGATATAAAATATATTTATATAATTAAATATATAGTTAAATATAAGGGTCATATTTTTTTTACATATATATAATATTACATAAAATCTACAATATTCATATATATAATTAATATACTTCATCATCATAATGGTGGTATATACATAAGAGAATTATGAATATAATAATTTTAATAGATATTATAAATTTATTTTTTCCCTTCATATTATATATATATTTCCATGCTACATATGAGTAAAAATTTTATATTTCTTATAAGATAAAAGAATAATAATTGTATAATATATTAATATATATTAAACTCAATTTACTATATTAAATAATAGTTAAAATTACACATTTGTTTTGTATATTAATATTTTTATTGAAACAATATAAATTACAAGGTTATTGTGAATTAGGTTATGAAAACATCTTATATATATAAATTACTATATAGATTATTTTGTAATTATTCTTAAAATTATTTACATTTTCATTAATATAT